GCTTCAAACAAAGTTGGGACAGTTATCGGTCGACCCAACCGGTCGAACGGATATTTTTATAACCAAATTTTCTGAAACGGATTTGGTCCAAAGAAACATGGGGTCTAAAACCAATATTTCACATTTTTGCCGTTTAAAAATGGTTTAGCAACCTAATGTGACAGATGTCGAAAAAAACATAGTTTTTTTATTTTTAATTAATTTGTACTATTTTGGTGTATATGGTCGCATTAATAAAATATTCACTGAGTTTCTGTATATTCTAATATTTTTTATAATTATTTTAGACGTAAATATGGGACAACAGTCTACACAATTTTTGCCCAGAATCGATATTTAGATCCACTCAGTTGGAATATCTTGTCAGTTAAGTTGCTTTCATGTCATTGGTGGAAGTTGTGTGGAGTATCATCGTTTGACTATATATTATTTCGCCTACTGGTTCACACTTAACCTGAGAAACCTGGATTTTTAAAGAATATTTTTCAAGGATGGATTTATAAAAAATGTTTTTATGGGCACTTAGAGGCTTGGATTTATTAAAAAATCTTTTTTAAAGACTATAGGAGGCGTGGGTTTACTAAAAAAATACTTTTTTTAAGGACTATCGGAGGCGTGGGTTTTAAAAACAAACATTTCTTTAAGAACTATGAGAGGCGTTGTTTTATTAAAGAAAATGTTTTTTAAAGACAGAGCTAAATCGTATATTATTTAAATAATCTCGGATTAAAAAAAAACTGAAGTTCTATGACGGTTACAAACGCGAATTTTTTAAGAATATTTTCCCAAGACTATCACAGCTTTTAAAAGGACTTTCAGAGCCTTCAGAGTCAATGTTATCGGAGTCATTATTGGTGACTTCTTAAAACATATTTTAAGGCATTTAGAACCATTATATGAGGCTTTTCAGGGCAAGACTATTAGGACAATTTTTGAAGATTTTGTTCAAACACCAATAAATATATTTTGAAATGCTTTTTTTAATGAGAATATTTTTTCGAAGGAATATCAGTGGCTATTGGCATTGTATTTTTTTGTTTTTATATGTTTTATTTAACTTTTTTAATCATTTTTACCAGATCTCCTATTTGTGGGTTTTTCGGGTTCATAACGAACTCATTAAAGTTTTTCATTTCCAAAACTGTAATTTAATTTCAAATCTTCGCCTTGAATCATATTATTAAAACCTGGGCGTATGAGTAACCACAAGAGTAATTTGGAGTAATAATTTTGCTAAACAATTTGTTTCACACTTGGCTACAATTTATTATATTTAAACTAGCAGACCCGGCAAACGTTGTTTTGCCGTATCAGAATTGCATCAATTTAAGTTTTGTAAAAATATGGTAAACCTTCATTAGCTGATACCCCAATATTTTAAGTAATGTTTTGTTTTTGCGGAATCCCAGTTTGTTGTTTTTATAAAAACAACTATATATTAGTGTGGAATGTGTTAAGTAATATTGTTATTGTTAAATACTAAATTATGTCAGTATGTATGGTATTTCGGTTATTCCAAAGATAAGTATGAATGGCGTAATTACTATTCCTATTTTGATCACATACAATTCATAAGTCTTTGGAATCATCAAAATTGGTGCAGACGTTCTAGAGTTATAAAAGGTGTAAGTAAAACAACATTCTATTACTCCAATCTCCGACTTTTTATGGTTTTCTCAAAATTTTCCTTGGCAAAATTCTTCCCTTTGCAATTAAAAACAACCGTAGGAAAATGTGAGTCAAATTGGTGCAGTCGTTATCTATGGAAACATTTTTCACATCATGAAAAAAATATTTGAGGAACAATAAAAGCACATATAAGTTAGACACCTAGAGCATTTAATGCGCAATTGTCTCCATGTAGGATTCGAATTTATATATTTATACTTCCTGAATATAATAAAACTTTCAATACCTTGCATAGCTAGCTAAATTGTTGATGTATTTGTAATCATATGTAGCGATTATTGAAAATTTTAAATGGAAATTTTCCTATATCCTAAACATAACAACGTATGTATATGTGTTGGTTCTATAACATAGACAAATGGCTCGCCATTATTGTACGTTTTAAGCCTCCTTATCTTTGGTCCTGATTTCATGTACTTTGAAAGTAGTAATAAATACCATATAAATTGCCTTTAATTCGGTATTTCATGTAGTGTAAGGAAGTTCTCTGTAAACTGTCGGTATAGTACTTTATACTTCATATACTTTATGGTATATGTCCCACATAACGAGAGATCCAGCAGATCCTTCAAAATATATTTTTCAAGATTTTCACGTATATTTCTCAAAATTTTCTTTCATAAAAACATTCCCAATTCAATTACAGCTAACAGAGAGAAATGTTTAGTCAAATCGGCCCGCCGTTCTCAATTGATAAGATGCTATACATTGTTTACATCGTTTGTATAATCATTTTTTCGCCCCCACGCGCTTTTCGCGTAAACACGTTATGTATGAATTGGTGTCGGAATACTTAACGTCGATTAAGGAACCCCACCCATTCTCGATTTTAATTTTTCAAGATTTTCAATGGGCTGGTAAATCAATACCAATGCTTGTTAAGGTTTGTAACTTTACACATATATATTTTAAGATTTAAAAGAGAAGAAAAATAATTTACAAAAAATTTTTGTTATTGTTTTGTTGTTGTTTTTTGTATTAAAGAAAAGTCCTAATTTTTGATGGCGGGCATGATAACTCCTCACTGGAACATCGGAATCCGAAAATTCCAACGGTGTTAGAAAGAGTACATGTCTGGCTCTCGTATGAACTAGGATTATTGACTTCGCTCTAAAATTAACAAAATGGCTGACTTTTGAAAAAATATTTTTGGAAAATCGCCGATTTTTGACCAAAAACCAAGTTAAAAAATAAGGAAGATCTTCACCGATTGGCTTTATCCTATTTCATACGATAGCTATATACTCACAGAGAAACTTGTAAAAATTTGGAATCGATTGGGTTATTAGTTTTTGAGTTATCGTGCCCACCATTCGCTAAAGAGAAAAACGTGTTTAAAGTTTGAGAAGCCCTTTAGCCGTCAATTGATGCTTACACAATAAATCGGCTATATTTTCAAGAGTTCTTCAGATTTTCACTTGAAATTTAGTAGGGACATTCGTGATTTAGTTTAGATTCGAATTAAATAAAAAAAAATTGACCCCGAGAATGGGGGAGTCCCCTTAAGCACCCAATTTCTAATCGGGCAAAACACAAAGAAACTATATAGCGCGCCATCTGTCGGACGAACTTAAATTTAAACAGAAACACTCCTCACGCCCTATGGAGCATCTACATTAAGTGTGGCCAAAATCGGTGTAGAAGTTATCTGACGGATGAACATTAAACTACACAGAAACACTCCTCACGCCCTATAGAGCCTGTACATACAATTAAGCACCCAATTTCTAATCGGGAAATACGCAAAGAAACTATATAGCGCGTCATCTGTCAAACGATCTTAGAACTAAACCGAAACACTCCCCAGCCCTCGTAGAGCATATACATAAAGTTTAGTCAAAAATCGGTGCAGTAATTCTTGAGTTACTGTACAAAAACACAAAAAAAAACTAAATATTGCGCCATCTGTCGGATGGACTTCAAACTACACAGAAACACTTCTCACGCACCATAGAGCCTATACATACAATTTGGTCAAAATCGGTGCAGTAGTTTTTGAGTTTAGCGATCACGAACATTCACGTAATTTGTATATATAAAGATGAAAATAATCGACTATATACTGTCTCGCTTACTGGTTTTTATAACAATATGTTGTTCACTTCACCTGTGCAATTCTGTATGTTTTTCTCTATCTTCATTTAAAACTGGGTTGAAACCCAGTCGTATGTGTAACGACAACACGTATTCGACACATATATATAAAAAAATATTTAATATTTGTGAAATATACGACCTGCCAGATGCTACATCCGGAATAACGGAACATTTTATGTGAATTTATTATTACCAACATTGTTTGTATACAAATCCTATTCAACTAAAGCACATCTGTTAAATAAAAAAACATCATTAAAATTGTTTATTACATAATAATAAAGTAATTAGCAATAATAATTTTGCTAAACAAATTTCTTCACACTTGACTACAATTTATAATATTTAAATGAAAATAGTCGACTGAGGATCCCACGCTTGTACCGTATTACGTCTGAGAACAAAAATGAGATATGATGAACGATTAAATTTTATTACATCTTAATTGTACAATTTGTTTTTTTTTTTTTTTTTTTTTAGCATTTAATATTTATTATTTTTGCAACGATTATTCATTTGCGCATGATATACATGCATACATGTTTCCATTTAGCAGAATTGTAGCTTAGATTAAAATTTGGGGAGGATCTGTTGAATAGATCGTCAATACTTGAATATTTTGGTTGGAATCTTACAACGAAGCTTGGTTTTCATCCACGCCCATATCTTTTGTTTTGTTTCATATTAGCTAAAGTATGGGTATATATTTACTTAGAGGTTCATCACAGTTCACTCACATAAACAAATTTATGATAAATGATTAAAAAATGCTGAGACTGCACAATGGGTGCCGGAAATGACAAACGATTAATTTGTCGTCGTGCAACATTAAAACCAGCAGATCACAAATCATCCCAAAGAGCTTTCTTGTTACCTGTTCCACCCATTTTTTGCTGTTAGCATTGCCACATATGGTGATGATTAGTCGGATGATTAGCATAGTCATAGCAGCGATTCATGAATTTCCATAAAACCGCGGCATGCAATTGAAGAGATTTATAATGAATGGTGAATGCATTGTCATTATTGCATCATAATTTAAATGGCCAGTAATGTGCAAAGTTGATTAATGTATTGAAAAATATGCATCAGCACAAATTTATTTGAGTTTAAAAAATATAAATAAATCAAAATATCTGAATTTATTTAAATTATTATAAAATACGAGATAATTTAATTAATAATTTTATTTATTTATTTATTTTTTTGTATAGGTATGGGATGAAGAACTGCAATATTTAGCCGCTCTAAATGTACGCACCTGTATTCTGGATCATGACGACTGTTATCACACCTATCGCTTTAAGAATTGTGGACAAAATCTTTGTGCCATTTCACGTTTGAAATATGACGCTCTGAATGTAACCAGTCTAATTGATGAGACAATACGTCTGTGGTTCGATAATGAACATCATTTGGTGGATAGTTCATATGTCACGGCTTTCAGAGTGGCACATCATTTGTAAGTGAAAAATATAATTTCATCTCAAGTTTAAATTTGATAATATTTCAATTTTCCTTTTTACAGTGAAGACTATGGCCATTTCACGGAAATGATTGTTGATCGTAATATCCGCCTGGGATGTGCCATCATGCAATATACCCGACCCGATTATCCCTACGTGCATGTGTATCATGTGGTGTGCAATTATGCTTCAGTTTACGCACTGGGTGCTCCTCTCTATAATGTCGGTCGTCCCGGTAGTGGTTGCATAACAGGAGTTAATCCACGATACCCGGCCTTGTGTTCAGTCAAAGAATATTTTGATCCAAATTATTAAATTTTTTTTTTAGTTCTATAGCTTTAGATATTTTTAGTGATTTTGTAATTATATATCGAAATATTGTATTGTTAATTTTTTTGGTTACATTAATTTTTTAATGTAAGAATAATATTAAGAATATTTTATTGTATAAAAACTGAAAAGTAATAATAAACACTTTTTTTATGATAACCCTTGAAAAATGTTTTGAAACCAGTACGGAAAGTAGTAAAGTCGGGCTGAGCCGACTATATGATACCCTTCACCACTTTGGGTATATAGTACGTATGTGCCTTACAATTGCAATTCAATGCTCCCTCGAAGGAACGTACTCATGTGTTTCTTAATTTAATTTCATTCGGGCAGATATAGAGTCGTCTGCGTACTATGGGACAAATTTATGGAAAACGATTTATGGCAAAATTGATACAAAATTGATATTCGGTACGAAACTTAGCACATATCACTCTAGACTTCGTTCAGTACGTTAACCCAAATTCCGTGCAAATCGAACGTTATATAGGGAGTTTGGTGCAGATTTGAACAGATTTTCACGAAACTTAGCACACATCATTCTAGGCCTAATTCAGTATGCCATGCCAAATTTCGGGCAAATCGTTAGATATATAGAATATTTGGTGCACAGTTTACATTAAATCGAACGAAAATATATATGGGAGCTATATCTAAATTTGAACCGATTTTAACGAAACTTAGCACACATCACTCTAAGCTTAATTCAGTAGGCTGTGCCAAATTCCGTGTAAATAGAAATATATATATAGGCGCTTTGGTGCTCCATTGACTTAAAATCGGACGAAAATATAAATGGAAGCTATATCGAAATCTGAACCGATTTCCACGAAACTTAACACACATCATTCTAGACCTAATTCATTACGCTGTGCCTTTGGTGCACCAATTGCACCAAATGCATTTAATCGGACGAAAATATATATGGGAACTATGTCTAAATCTGGACCGATTTTCAGGAAACTTAACACACATCGTTCTAGGCTTAATTAAGTAAGCTGTGCCAAATTTCGTGCAAATCGAAAGATAAACAGGGTGTTTGGTGTACCATTTACATTAAATCCGACGAAAATATATATGGGAGCTATATTTAAATCTGAATTGATTTTCACGAAACTTATCACACATCATTCTAGGCCTTTGCTGTGCCAAATTTCCTGTAAATCGAAAGATATATAGTGACCTTGATGCACCCTTTACCTTAAATCGGACGAAAATATATACGGGAGCTATATCTAAATCTGAACCGATTTTAACGAAACTTAGAACACACCACTATAAGCTTAAGTCAGTAGGCTGCGCCAAATTTCGTGCAAATCGAAAGATATACAGGGTATTTGGTGCAACATTTACATAAAATCGGATGAATATATATATATATATATATATGGGTGCTATATCTAAATCTGAACCGATTTTCAGGAAACTTAACACACATCGTTCTATACCTAATGCATTATGCTGTGCCAAATTTTGTGCAAGCCGAAAGATATTTAGGGACTTTTGCGCACCACTTACCTTAAATCGGAGGAAAATATATATGAAAGACACATCTAAATCTGAACCGATTTTAACGAAACTAAACACACATCATTCTAGTCTTAATTTAGAAAGCTATGCAGAATTTCGTGCAAATCAAAAGATTTTTAGGGAATTTGATGCACCATTTACCTTAAATCGGATGAAAATATATATGGGAGATATATCTAAATCTGAACCGATTTTAACGAAACATAGCACACATCATTCTAGTCTTAATTTAGAAAGCTATGCCGAATTTCGTACAAATCGAAAGATATATAGGGATTTTGGTGCACCATTTATCTTAACTCGGTCGAAAATATATATAGGAGCTATATCTAAATCTGAACCGATTTTTCCCATTTTCAATAGGGTTCGTCCTTGGGCCAAATAAATGAGCTACGCCAAATTTCATCCAATTCCAATCAAAAATGCGGCCTGTACTTTGTTTACAATTTAACATGGACATGTATAAATCGACCATGCAAAAGGAACCTCTTTTCGATTTGCACGTTACAAGACATAAAACCCTGTACCACAGTGTGGTCAAGGGTATAAACATCCACGCATATATGTTAAACCTTGAAAAAAATATTTTTAAACCAGTGAGCGGAGCAGTATAGTCGGACGGACCCTACACAACTACAAGGGAACTCGAATGTTTATTCCGAGCCTGGGCAATAGTTAGTGATATTTGCCCCGACTTGCCCGATTAGAGGTCAACAGCACATATTCCTTACATTTTACGAATATTACAAATATTCAGTATAGCCCTTCTATTTACTTGTCCAGATTCTCTTCACGATGGGTTGTGTTGTGATGTTCGCCTATATTCGACTAGAAAACACACAAAAAAAATTAAGTTTTCGGTCCACTTTATCCCAAAATTTTAATCTGATCATCATCGAAAATTATAGGCGTTGTCCTTCACCATACCTGGATCCTCATGGAAAATTTCAAACCTATCAGCGCTATATTTCAGCCCTCTAATGTGATAATGAATTTAAATTTTGAAAATTTTCACACAAAAGTCAAAGTTAATTTGACCCGCTAAATATTGACCGATCTTTATTAAAAAAAGGAACGCCTATTCTTTGGCCCTGTCCCCTTCTCCATGTGAAAATTCGCGATGTTCGGGCTATAATTGCGGCCTCTGGAGCGACCAGAAAATCAGACAAAAATAAAGTTTTTGGTCCATTTCTTCCCCTAAATATTAACCGATCTTTATCAAAAACAATAGGGGTCACAACACATCCTACATGCAAAATTTCGTAAAGATTGGTCCATAACTGTGGCCTGTATCGTGTTTACAAATTATAATGGACAGACGGACGGACACACATGTCTAGATCGACTCAGCAAGTCGAGATACGACTGAGATAATTAATCGGTATACTGAGATATGATCGGTATACTTAAAGGTGGGTCTAGGACCAATATTTCGCAGTATTACAAACTCTTGGGGCTGCACAAAGCTATAATACCCTGACAACATAGTTGTGTAGCGTATAAAAATCCACGTTGAATGGTCTTTAAAAAATATTTTTTAAAAAATCCAAGCCTATCTTAGCCCTTAAAAAATATTCAAATGGTGTGTAAAAAAATCTCTTTAAAATCTATGTGAATGGTCTGTGTACTCAGTTTATTAGAGTTTAAATTCTATATTCAATATATAAATATCCGCAGTCTTTTATTTTGCACTTAATTGATTCAATATTCAATATGAACATTTTCCTAAATTACAAAATAAATATATAAATTAATATAAATAAATATTTCCAATGTCATATCCAATTCTAATAATTGGGATTATAAAGTTCTCTTGTAGAACACAGAGCTGGATATTTATGATTGGTACCAGTTTTACATCCCGAACCCGGTTTCCCCGCACTATACACTGGCACATCATAGGCATAGACACTGGCATAATCACAGGCTAAATTATAGATATACAATTGTCGATATTGGTGATGTGTATAACGGATCATGGAACAGCCAACATGGGTATTGCGATCCAAAACAAATTCAGCAAAGTGGCCATATTTTTCACTACAAAATAGAATTTTATAAATTCGAAAATTCCAAAAAAAAATAATTTTTAAAATACTCACAAATCACTGGTAACCTTAAATTTCGTAATATAACTGCTATCAATCAATTTGTGTTCGGTATACCATAACCAAATATCCTTTAGCAATACAGCCGTAATATTTTGTGGTTCATCCTTGTTCTGGGCTATGCCCACCAAATTTTGTCCAACATTACGAAAACGATAGCTGTTACGACATTCATCGTGATCCACCACACAGGTTCGGACATTCAACTCAGCCAAAAATTCCAATTCATCATCCCATTGCAGGGTGGCCATACGTGCGGCGGGATAATAACCCGGCAACAAACCCTGAGCTATGAAATTCCTACGATTATTGTGCTCGTGTAATATTAGATCACGATATGGTCGTAAATCGATTATTTCCACATCGGGTTCACATCTCTCGTGGAAATCCTAAAGGAGAAAATTAGAAAATAATAATCAAGGAGGGTCAGATTAGATCCACACTAAGGAATGAAGTCGAACACCTACAATATTTTCAAATACGAAATAATTTCCATAAATCTCCATATATTATTATTAGGAAACCTTACAATTGTATCCTTTTCATCAACAATATCCCATACTTACCCCCGAATTATTACAGGCCGTATGTGTTCCACCATTTGGACATAATTCTGGATCACACCAATCCAAAGAACTAACACCGCATACAATAGCACTGAATATTAAGAACACTTTATGCGAATTCATTTTTTTCCTTTTTTAATTTAACCTTGGAATGATCTTCCGAATGCTTTTTTCTTCGATCCTTCTACTTTAAATTGCTTAATGAAAATGTAAAATAAATTGATTTCAACTTAAATATTTATATATAATTTGAATATATATCGTAAAGGTGGAATCTGTATTTTTGTTTACATTCCCATCATATCATCCAGCATTCAAATTAATCTGTAACATTGTTTACATATTTAATTACACACACTTACACAAACACAAAATGTTATTGACCAAAAATTAAAAATATTTGCGAAAAAAAAATTAGCAAATCAATTAATTTGTTTTGTTATTGTTCCGCCTCATTCAAGTCTTTTGAAGCAAAATTCAAATTAAATTTTGGAACAGGTGCGATTTATGTAGATTCATTGTAATTAAAAAATAATAAATACATAAATATATATAATATACATATATATATATATATATATATATATTTGATATCCTTTACAGAATTAAATGTAATGAAATATGCATATTTTTTGAAACAATTTGTATATAAGTTTCGATAAATTATTTTCAGATTTTTTTAATTATTTCATTTTTAGACCCTTCACCACACTGTGGTACAGGGTATTATGTCTTTGTGCATATGTTTGTAACATGCACAAATAATCGAGAATAGGCATAGAATCACATTCTGAGTCGATTTATGCATGTCCGTCTGTTGGTGTTAAATTGTAAACAAAGTACAGGTAGCATTTATGATCCGAATTGGATGAAATTTGGCACAGCTCAATTGTTTGGCCCACGGACGAACCCTATTGAAATTGGGAAAAATCGGTTCAGATTTAGATATAGGTCCCATATATATTTTCGTTCGATTTAAGGTAAATGGTGCACCAAAGTCTCTATATATCTTTCGATTTGCACGAAATTTGGCACGTAATAAATAAGGTCTAGAATAATAATAAGGTCTAGTAATAAGAAAGGTCGTGAAAATCGGTTCAGATTTAGATATAGCTCCCATATATAGCTTGGCCCGATTTTAGGTAAATAGTCCACGAAAGTCCCTGAAAATCTTTTGATCTGCACGAAATTTGGCGCAGCGTAATGAATAAGATCTAGAATGATGTCTGTCAAGTTTCGTAAAAATCGGCTCAGATTTAGATGTAGCTCCCATATACATCTTCGTCCGATTTAAGATAAATTGTGCACCAAAGTCCCTATATATCTTTCGATTTGCACTAAAATTGGCACAGCGAACGAAATTAAGTCTAGAATGATGTGTGCAAAGCTTCGTGAAAATCGGTTCAGATTTAGATATAGCTCCCATATATATTTTCGTCCGATTTTATGTAACTGGTGCACCAAAGTCCCTATATACCTTTCGATTTACATGAATTTTGGTATAGGGTACTGAATTAAGTCTAAAATGTTGTTGCTAAGCTTCGTGAAAAGATCCATAGCTAGGCCGATTGACACAACGTACTGATGTAATATAAATTAGTCTCTGGCAAGTTTCCCCGAAATCGGTTCAGATATAGATATATAACAAAAACGTGTCGTCTGTTAGGATACGTACGTAGAATATACCCAAAGTTCAATTCGTTCAATTGCATGTCAATTTTCCTTCGAAAAATCGACGACTTTTAGGATACATATGTTGAATATACCCAAAGTGGTGAAGGGTATCATATAGTCGGACCAGTCCGACTTTAATACTTTCCTTACTGGTTTGTTTATATTTTTATACCCTCTACCACAAGTTGGAGTGTATTGTAAATTTGTCATTCCATTTACAACACCTCGAAATATTCAGCTTAGACCCCATAAAGTGTATATATTCTTGATCCGAATAAAATTCTATGTCGATTTAGCCCAGTCCGTCTGTCTGTTGAAATCACGTTAGAGATCGCAATATTAAAGAAAGAGCTTTGAATTGGTATTGGTATTGTAAATGTGATATATCGGTCCACGGTTTGTTGTAGCCCCCTTTTTAACGGTACCTCGCAATATTCTGTATATTGCAGCATTGGGGAAGTTCTTCAACCTTATCAGCTATAATTTGATATTTCACAGGGTAAATAGCCGGTACCCCAATATTTTGAAGATTTTAGGCACTGGTTTTCCAACTAATCAGCTGTGATATAGTATTTTCGTTTACCACTGGGTGGAAATTTTTCATACTAAAAATTTTAAATATTGGCCCACTTTTTAGGGTATTTTGAAGCTCTTTGGCATGCTTGATATTGTGAAATCTCACTGGGTAAAAAATGTTCCCACTAAAAATTATCAACATAGTTTCGGGGTACCTTTCATATTACGGTACCATTAAATATTTTGAGGCGTTTGAGCATGTTTTTCAACCTACTCAAAATGATCAATATTTTTCAACTGTTTATTTCGGTATTACTTGGAATTTGGACTCGTAGCTCAATTAAATAGGCTATAATTTAATATTTTGGATTCTCATTGAGGAGAAAATCTCCCTATCAAAAATGACCAATGTTGGACGGATAGCCACATATAAAAATTTTGGCACATCCCCATAATAATAAATTTGGTCCAAGGACAAACTCTATTGAAACGGGGAAAATCGGTTCAGATTTACATATAGTTCCCATATATATTTCCTTCAGACTTTTTTTAGAAGTTTGTACCAAAGCCCCTATATATCTTTCGATTTGCATGAAATTTGGTATGGCGTACTTCGTAAAAAATCGGTGTAGGGTATCATATCGTCGTTACCATCCAACTTTATTGCTCCACATACTGGCTTTCATTCATTTATATATAAAAAAAAACTCCAACCGATATGAATGAATTTTTACATATTGATTTATACAATTGACGTCAACAATGACTAATAATTAATTATTTTATTTTTGAATTTCTCACTATATCACCTGCATCTGAGTTAACAGTTGTGGACATTAATGGTGGTTTTTCAGACACCTTCAAAACATCACCAAAAACAGTCATTTAATTTCAATAACAAAGAAAATAAATTGTATTGTTTCGAATTCGAAAAGTTTTCTACCCACGCATACAGCACACTAACCTACCTTAAATTCTGAAATTTATTGTATTGATATTCCGAAGGGAAAGGCCAAAATCTCCCAAATACTTGTCAAGTAGACATCTTGTGGAAAAATTAATTGACATGTGCAAATTAAATGCCCTCGCATCGTAATGGTACCGCGAACCATAGTTTTAGAAAATTGTAAACAAAATACAGGTCGCATTTATGATCCGAATTGGATAAAATCAGGCACAGCTCATTTATTTGACCCAAGGACGAACCCTGGTGAAATTTGGGAAAATCGGTTCAGATTTAGATATAGTTTCCATATATATTTTCGCCCGATTTAATGGTAATGAATCAACAAAGCCACTATATTTCTTTGGATTTGCACGAAATTTGGCACAGCATACCGAATTAAGTAAAGAATGATGTGTGCTAAGTTTCGTGAAAATCGGTTCATATATATTTTCGTCCGATTAGATAAAGATCACATATTTATGTTCGTTTAATTTCATGTCAATGTCCCTTCGAAAAGGCGACGTCTGTTAGGATACATATGTAGAATATATCCAAAGTGGTGAAGGGTATCTCCTAATCGGCCCAGTCCGACTTTACTACTTTCCTTACTGGTTTATAAATTTGTAAATTTAATTTGAAGCGAATTGAATAACTGATTTGGTCAAGATTAAATCCGAAACCTCTTTGATAAAAAATAATAAATCCTGTGTGTAATTCCGATGACCTCCGCAAACCATAGGCTGAGGGTATATTACAAACAATTGGTTTAAAAACTGGCCAAGATATGGTGGCTACCCTAAAAAATATTAATTGTTTTTAGTATGCTACCCAAAGAGAATACAAAATACCAAATTACAGCCTATTCGATTGAAAAAAAAAATATTCATTCATTTCCAAATACTAAGGGTATCGCTTTATCAAGGCTATACTAAAACGTAAACCCATATATTCCATTTTCAATACCAAACATGCTCGATCTACTAGCAATATCTTTGCAATATTTCAAAACCCTACCTTATATATTACGATCTCTAATATAGGTCTCTGATGGAGGTTAAAAAAAAAAATACTAAGGAAACGGAGTACGATAAACGATAAAAATGTCCCTATCTTTAATATTGAGTCTGGTTCCACAGATATACAATTTTACTCCGATCAAGAATACATATAAATTATAAGAAATCCGTGCGTCGAATTTGGGATGTTGCAAACGAAATTACAATTTTAAATTATTAAAAAAAATAAAATAAGAAATTAATAAAACTTGTTTTATTCAATAATTTGGATTATAAACCTCTTCGGGGGAGCATAACCCAGGATAATGAGAATTAATTCCGCTACGACATTTCGAACCAGGTCTACCCACCGTATAAATGGGCACATCATAGGCATATACCGTGGCATAATTACAGGCAAAATTATAAATATACAAATACGGATACTCTGGTCGTGTGTAACGTATCATAGAACATCCCACATGGGTATTACGTTCCAAAACCAAATCGGCAAAGTGGCCGTATTTTTCTCTGCAAAAAAATATAAATTATCTATTAATTTTTCTATAAACTAAGCATATTTCCTTACAGATCTCCAATAACTTTAAATTCCGTTATAATATCGCTATTGATTATTTTGTGCTCTCGAAACCACAACCACATATCGTTCAGTATTATTTCAGTTATATTTTGATAGACATTTTTAAAACGTGAAATGCCAACTAGATTTTGTCCTGAATTACGGAAACGATATGTATTACGACACTCATCATGCTCCACTATACAGCTGCGTACATTCAGGTCAGCTAAATATTCTAATTCTTCATCCCATTGTAGTGTGGCCATGCGAGAGGCAGGATAATATCCTGGCAATAGTCCAAGTGCTACAAAATTTCGTCGTTTATTGTGTTCATGTACGATTAAATCACGATATGGTTCCAAATCGATTATTTCAGCATCGTAGCCACATCGTTCATGCAGAGCCTAATATAAGATGGAATTATAAAGTGGAATGGGATTATTGAGGGAACTTCGCTATATTTTGGGATTTTTATAGATTTACATGAATTAAAAAATTGTCCCCCATTTATAAAGATTGTCTTTTGAATAGATTCTTACCCCATCATTATTACAGGCTATATGTTGTTCACCACTTGAACATAAATTCGGATCACACCAATCCAAAACCTCACTACAGCTGGCAATCACACAATAAAATATTGAAAATATTATGGCTTTATGCATTTTGCAATAAATCGCGTGAGTCTGCTTTGACCGAACAAAATTTAAATATTAATAAACTCACAATCCGGTAGTCTCATCATATTTATAATTCTGCAATGTTATCAGGATATTAAAATCGATATCGTATTTGATTCTTAAAATAAAACAATAAACAAGACAATACATTGAATCATTAGAATGTAATTAACAAGTTGTTTTTTAATTATTATTAAATCCTTTGTTAAGTCTGTGGAGGAATGGAATTTAAGTTGATGCAGGGCAGGTCTAAGGTGAATATGCATATGAAACTGTAATCCGGTGCCCTTGAAAATATAACATTACATTTTTGTCAAAAATATTGTTATACCGTCCATCATAAGGTGGAATGTATATTAAATTTGTCATTCCGTTTAAAACACATCGAAAGATGTTTTAAAAAGGGTTTGAAAATTACATCAAAAGTATCAATGCTTGTAAGAGTTCGCTAGAGGTCATTTAAATTAGGTAGTGTTTCACAGATCATGGCAACGTTCAATCTTTATAATAAACCAGTAAGAAAAGTTCAAAAGGCCGACTATATGATACCCTTCGCCCATTCACATGGGTACATAGAAGATATGTAATGTTTGTTCTATCCTGTAGATAGAATATGTTCGGAATATTAAAATGGAATTGGACGAAGTTAAGTACATAATCTACAAAGATATTTAAACCAATTTAAAGCAACCCATACATATACAATACTGAAATCTATGAAAAATTACATGCCAATCGGGCAGACTTAATTTCTTTGGTGTACCATTTGTATGAAATAGATAGCTATATCTAAATCTAAACCGATTTTCACGCAACTAAGCAAACAGCAGCAACTAAGCAAACAGCATTTCATACAAATCAAAAGAAATATACGGGCTTTAGTGCACCATTTTCATAAAATCGAACGAAATATATATATATATATATATATATGGGAGCTATATCTAAATATGAAGCGACTTGAACAAAAGTTTGCACACTTTAATTTGTTCCTACGCTGTTCAAAATGTTGTCTCAATTGGAAAATCCTTGAAAGTTTGGTGCACCATTTACATAATATCGGACAAAGCTATATATGGAAACTGAACCGATTTCAACAAAACATCACAGACATCAAACTGGACTTAATTCTGTAGGTTGTGTAAAATTTTATCTCAAACCGGACGAAACTATATATGAGAGCTATATCTAAATCGGAAGTAATTTCAACGTAATTTAGTATAATATTTTGTCTCAATCGGACGAAAAAATATGTATGGAAGCTATAAATCTGAACCGATTTTCTCCAATTTCAATAGGGTTCGTCCTTGGGGCAAATAAGTGACATGTGCCAAATTTAATCCAAATCGGATCATAAATTTACAATTCAACATCAACACACGGACATGCATAAATCGACTCAGAAAGTGATTCTATGCATATGTGTGTCTATGTCTATCTCGTTTCCTTTTGCTGTTACAAACATATGCAAAAAGACATAATACCCTGTACCACAGATTGGTAAAAGGTATAAATATATATTTAGAAAAAAAATCAAAAAATGTTCAAATAGTTTTGGGCATAAGCTTTTTTTATAGAATCGGATACGAAGTTGTAAAAAAGTCATAACCCTAATACATACTCCATGTAAAATTTCATGTAGTTCGGACCGGGTGGGGAAAACGCCACCATCAAACAAAGATTGACTATAATTTATTCCTTGCTGTAATTTGATATTGTTCTGGGATTGTCTATTAAAAGTGCGCGCTTATCATGGTTCCGACAACATTTAAAGATTTAGCCGCATTTTTTCTCCAAAATGGTTGAAAATTGGCATTCCAAATTTCTAGTGTAGAAAAAACTTTTTCATTATAGGCCCATGTTTCTTATAGGGTTGTTTTTCCGTTTCCAACTCATCAAAATAATCATTTTCGACCCTATAAACAATATATATTCTTGATGTATGACGACTTACAAATATCTGCTTATTGTAACCACTCGAACTTCTAAACGAATTGAGATCGCTAAAATTGTGCATATAGTTGTCATTTGTCTGTACGCAGGAAGGCCTTGCCACCAAATATCCAGTCTTAAGGATTTTGACAAAGTTTTTCGAAAGAATTTGCTGTAATTTGATACATAGGGTTCAAATTGCGTACCACATCTTTCCGACAAAAAATACTAAAATATTTTCAATTTGTTTGGGTAGCGGCATTTTGGGGGTTTTGAGAACGTTTTATCCGTATTTTCTGTATTTTAGATTCGTACTTGATAAAAATCTACTTACTATAAATTATTAATATTCGCCCATATTTTGGGGGTAAACCCCGTACAACACATTTTTATACCCTACACAACTATGTTGTAAGGGTATTAGAGCTTCGTCTGGCCTCAAGAATTTGTATCGCTGCGAAATGTTGGTAATAGACATATATTTTAGTATCTCGATCTCGACTAGCTGAGTTCATCTAGACATGTGTGACTCTCCGTCCGACTGTACATTTTTTTGTAAACACTGTACAGGCCAATCTTCATAAAATTTTGCATGTAGGTTCGGTTCTGGCTAAAGAAGATTTTCACTTGAAATTTTATAGGGACATTCTTGAATTAGTTTAGGGTCGAATCAAATAAAAAAACACTGAGCGGAGCAGTATATTCGGAGGGGGCCGACCATATGATACCCTACACAACTTCCACGAAAATCTAACTTTCTGTGGTTCTATATTCTGAGCATGGTCAATATTTCGCGATATTTGAACCCTCTTGACCGATTAGATGTCAACAAATATTACTAATATTAAGTACAGACCTTCTGATTACATGTGCAGATTCCCCTGCCCGTGGGTTGTGTTGCGATGTTCGGCTTTCAATTTTGGCCACAAAAAATTATTATGTCCTTGACCATAAGTGGAACCTCATGGAAAATTTCAAAGCGATCAGCTCTATATTTCCGCTCTCTAGTGAGGTAATAGGTTACTAAATAATATATGAATACGTAAGCACCTGTAAATATTTATGTTGAAGTCCCGCATGCCAGTATATACGAAGTCCCGCATGCGAGTACATCAATTTAAAGGCCAACCACTCATCTTGGATATGTCGTTCAGAATTAAATATATAGGCTATAGAATACAAATTTTGTAATTTTTCGCACAAAAGTCAGGTTCCATTTGACCCGTTAAACATTGACCGATCTTTATGTAAACAGGCATGGGTATTCTTTGGCCCGATCCCCTTCTCCATGTAAAAATTCGAAGTTTGCGTCATAATTGCGCCCTCTGGAGCAACCAGAAATCAGACAAAAAATAAAGTTTTTGATTGATTTCATCCCCTTAATATTAACCGATCTTTACCAAAAACAATAGGGGTCTTCATTGGGCAGAACCCACCCTACATGCAAAATTTCGTGAAGATACGTCCATAACTGTGGCCTGTATCGTGTTTACAAATTATAATGGACAGACGGGCGGGCGGATGGGCGGATGGGCGGACACACATGTCTCGATCGACTAAGCTAGTCGAGATATGATCGGTATACTTAAAGATGGGTCTAGGACCAATATTTCGCGGCGTTACAAACTCTTGGGGCTGTATAAAGCTAATACCCTGACAACATAGTTGTGTAGGGCATAAAAAATATTTTTTTTATTCGTAGGATGGGAAACTTAATTGCAAATAAATTAATTGCAAATAAAATGTTATAGGGTAATATGTCTTTGTGCATATGTTTGTAACAGACTAAAGGAATCGGGATAGACCCATGGTTCCTTTTGAGAATATACATAGAATCACTTTCTGATGTCATGTTAAATTGTAAACAAAGTACAGTTCGCATTCATAATCCGATTTGGTTGAAATTTGTTACAGCTCATTTGTTTGGCCTAAGGACTAACCCTATTGAAATTGGGGAAATCGGTTCAGATTCAATTATAGCTCTCATATATATTTTTTGTCCGATTTAAAGAAAATAGAGCACCAAAGTCCTTATATATCTTTCGATTTGCACGAAATTTGGCACACCGTACCCAATTAAGTGTAGAATGATGTGTGGTAAGTTTCGGTACAAATTTAGATATATCTCCCATATATATTTTCGTCCGATTTAATTGAAATGGTTCACCAATGTCCCTTTATATCTTTCGATTTGTACGAAATTTGGCATAGCGTATTGAATTGAGTCTGACTGATGTATGCTAAATTTCGTGAAAATTAGTTCGGGTTTTTATATAGCTCCCATATATAGTTTGGTGCGATTTAAAGTAAATGGTGCACCAAAGTCCATATATATTATTCGAATTGCGCGAGATTTGACATAGCGTACTAAATTGAGTGCAAAATGATGTCTGCTAAGTTTTGTGAAAATCTGTTTAGATTTAGATATAGCTCCCATATATATTTTCCTTTGATTTTATGTAAATTGTGCACTAAAGACCCAAAGATTGTACGATTGACACCCAATTTTGTATAAAGTATTGATGTTAATATAAATTAATCTATGGCAAGTTTTGTTGAAATCGGTTAAGATTTAGATATAGCTCCCATATATATTTTCGTTGAATATTAGGAAAATTTTGCACCGATTGACACGAAATTTTGCACAACGTATCAAATTGAGACGTTATTGTGTTTTATTGAAAATGGTGCAGAGCAGATACAGCTTGGTCCCTTTTGAGAATATGCATAGAATCACTTTCTGAGTCGATTTATGCATGTCCGTCTGTCCGTCCATGTATTTTTGTGAACAAAGTACTAGTCGCATTTATAATCCGATTTGGATGAAATTTGGCATAGGTCACTTATTTGGCCCAAGGACGAACCCTATTGAAATTGGGAAAAATCGGTTCAGATTTAGATATAGCTCCGATATATATTTTCGTCCGATTTAATGTAAATGGTGCACCAAAGTCCCTATATATTTTTCGATTTGCACGAAACATGACACATACTAATGAATTCGGTCTAGAATGATGTGAGTTAAGTTTCCTGAAAATCGGTTCAGATTTAGATATAGCACCAAAGTCCCTATATATCTTTCGATTTGCACGAAATTTGGCACAGCGTAATGAATTAGGTCTAGAATGATGTGTGTCAAGTTTCCAGACACACATCATTAGATTTAGACATAGCTCCCATATATATTTTCGTCCGATTTAATGTAAATGGTGCACCAAAGTCCCTTAATATATTTCGATTTGCACAGCGTAATGAATTAGGTCTAGAATGATGTGTGGTAAGTTTCGTGAACATCTGTTCAGATCTAGATATAGCTCCCATATATATTTTCGTCCGATTCAAGGTAAATGGTGTACCAAAGTCCCTATATGTCTTTCGGTTTGCACGAAATTAGGCACAGCGTAATGAATTAGGTCTAGAATGATGTGTGTTAAGTTTCGTGAAGATCGGTTTAGATTTAGATATAGCTTCTATATCTGAACAAATGAAAAATTAGTATCGGTTGCAGAATACCATGTTTATGGATCAAATTTCATTTTACTGGTCCTTTAAAAATGCGACGTCTATTACGATTTATCTGTTGAATATATCCAAAGTGGTGAAGGGTATCATATAGTCGGCCACGTCCGACATTTCTACTTTCCTTACTGGTTATTACATATATTATGTTCATAAACCTAAGCGGATAGAACAATTTATTGAATCTTTTATAACCATTATTTACATTTATTTATTTGTAAATTGAATATTTACTATGATGCATATTATGCAAATTAGCAAGCTGACCCCTTGGATTAACCTTTGCGGGGCGGTAACACATGTTTCCTCCACAAATAACAACAAACGTCCATCCGTATATCATAGCATGTAAGAAGTTATCGATAAAATAACGAATGCACATGCTATGGTTTTAATTAGCAGCTGATTTATAACAAACTTGTATTTGCAAGCAAGCAAAAAATCTCCCAGCGTGTCCATTTTGATAAATATTATCGTAAATATCACAAAGTAATGCTAAATGAAATGAAAAAAATAACACACAACATGTCTGACAATATTTAACAAAGCCTGACAGAGGAAGCCTCCTAACCTACCTCAAATAAAACAACAAAAATTAAAAAAATAACTTGCAATGAATCAGAATGTTAATAAAAATACAATAAAAAGTTGTGCAATCTGAGCGGCAAGGAACACGTGCTCTGGATGCAATTCATACAAATTCTCAGGAAACTGTTACGATTTTTTGTGTTTTTCTTGTTTTGATTCATTTTGTAAGGGAAATAATTTTTAAGGAAATATTTCTTGTGGTTATTGTTATTTGTGTGATTTTTTTTTCATTTCGAAAAATTTTGCATTCAAATAAGATCATAGTCTAAAAATACTCTATATGAATTGTCATGTAAATATTAAAAGTATTCGAACATGAGAAAATATTTCGTTGAAAACATTGAAGAAAATTTCACAAAAATATCGATTGATTCTGCAACAAAAAAAAATATTTCAAAACTAATATTAACATTTTTTTAACGGGATATAACATTTTAACCTTGGATTGATGTGATCCTGAACTGTGTCCAAAAGGTGGAAAAACATATAGCCTGTGGAAATTATGGGGCTTAAAGAATTAAACAAATTCCCCAGCTACTCAAAAAAATCTCATTAGTTAATCGGAGGGATATTATTTTTATAGAAAAAAATTCCTCTGTTACTCTAAGGAAACTTTTTTCACTAAAAACTATTCTGTATCTTTGAGACATTTTTTCTGCAAAAAAATGCAAATGTTACACTCAATTACTCAGAGAGTTATTTTTCCTATAGAAAAAACTCCTCAATTCCCGTGAGGCATCTTTTCTATATAGAAAAAAAATACCTCAATTACTCAGAGGGATCTTTTTCCTGTACAAATTATTTCTTGAGGGATATTTTTCATATAAAAAATTACTCAGTTCCTCCGATGTATCTATTTTCTCTGTGGGATAATTTTTCTAAAAAAAATCCTAGGTTAAACTGAGGGATATATTTTTTATACAAAATCTCATTTTTTTATAGAAAAAATCCGCAGTTAGTCTGAGAGATCATTTTCTCTTTATGAAGGATATTTTTTCTATAGAAAAAATCCACAGTTACTCTGAGGGATCTTTTTTCTAAAGAAAAAATCCTCAGTTATCTGAGAGACTTTTCTAAAGAAACTAACTCCTTAGTTACACTAAGACAGTATTTTTCTATAGAGTGTCTTCTTACAAAACGGATCAATAACTCAAGATCCCAATTTAACTCCTAAAAGTATAGTGCATACTTTACAACGTAACAAAAATATATATGAAATGTTCCGAAATGTTCGCTACATATAAAAATTCTTCAACCTATAGAAAATAATTCTCGGTTCCCGCAATATATAATAAAAATCAATTGATTATGACAAAATCAATTATTTCTTACTCTCTCTCTCTCTCTCTGACGGACTATGTATAAAAACTAAAAATGAAATGTAGATGGCGCTGATACTACATGTAGTAAAAAATCCCATAGCTATTCTATGGATAAAAGATCATGAACTACTATACAGTGCTTTGATAGACTTTCGCTGTAGACATATTTTCAGTCTCTCTAAAGAACTATTTCTATTGAAATCAATTCCTCAGCTTCTCTAAGGGACATTTTTAGAAAAAATGAATTTTTTTACTTCTTAGTTCTTAAAAGTATGCAGAAAAAACCTTAACAAGAACTAAAATCAAATATAGATGGCGCTCGTATTAACATATGCAACTTTTAGGGCACAATTCGTACGAGGGCATTTTGATTGGAATTGGATGAACCCCTATTGAAATTGGTTGGTGAAAATCGTCCGACTAAAGGTAAATGGTGCACCAAAGTACCTATATATCTTTCGATTTCAACGAAATTTGGCATAACGTACTGAATTAAGCCTAGAGTGATGTCTGCCATGTTTCGTGAAAATCGGTCCAGATTTAGATATAGATCCCATATATAATATTTTCGTCCGATTTAAGGTAAATGGTACATCAAAGACTCTGAATATCTTTTGATTTGAACGAAATTTGGTGCAGCCTACTGAATTAAGCTTAGAGTGATGTGTGCTAAATTTCGTTAAAATCGGTTCAGATTTAGATATAGCTCTCATTTATATTTTCGTCCGACTTAATGTAAATGGTGCACCAAAGTACCTATATATCTTTCGATTTCAACGAAATTTGGCATAGTGCACTAAATTAAGTCTAGAGTGATGTGTGTTAAATTTCGCGAAAATCGGTTCAGATTTAGATATAGCTCCGATATATATTTTCGTCCGATTTAAGGTAAACAGTGCATCAAAGTCCTTATATATCCATCGATTTGCACGAAATTTGGCATAGCGTATTGTATTAAGTCGAGAGCAATGTGTGTTAAATTTCGTGAAAATCGGTTCAGATTTAGATAAAGCTCCGATATATATTTTTGTCCGATTTAATGTAAATAATGTACCAAAGTCCCTATATATCCTTCGATTTGCACTAAATTTGGCATAGCGTACAGAACTGAGTATAGAATGATAAGTGGTGAGTTTCGGGAAAATCGGTTCAGATTTAGATATAGCTCCCATATATATTTCCGTCCGATTTCATGTAAATGGTGCACCAAAGTCACTATATATCCTTCGATTTGCACGAAATTTAGCATAGCGTAATGAATTAAGTCGAGAGCAATGTGTGTTAAATTTCGTGAAAATCGGTTCAGGTTTAGATATAGCTCCGATATATATTTTTTGTCCGATTTAATGTAAATAATGTACCAAAGTCCCTATATATTTCAATTTGCACGAAATTCGTCATAGCGTACTGAATTGAGTCTAGAATGATGTGTGCTAAGTTTCGGAAAAATCGGTTCAGATTTTGATACGTCTCATAGATTGCAGAAAAACACGAGTATGTTCCTTCGAGGGAACATTGACATACAATTGTAAAGATACATATGTACAATATACCCAAAGTGGTGAAGGGTATCATACAGTCGGCTCAGACCGACTTTACTATTGTTCTTAGTGGTTTTTTCTATAGAAAAAAGATTCCTCAGAGTAACTGAGGATTTATTCTTTGTAAAGAAAAAAGATCCCTCAGAGTCCCTGAGAATTTTTTAATGAATAATTTCTTCTTTCAATAGAAAAACATCTCTCAAAGCAACTGAGGAATTTTGTTATATTGAAAAAAGATACTTCAAAGTAATATTTCTCTATAGAAATATTATCACACAGGATTTTTGTTCCGGTGAAAAAAGACCCACCAGAGTAACTGAGGATTTTTTTTCTATAGAAAAAAGATCCATAATAATTACATGGGATTTTTTGTTATAGAAAACTAATACTAATCTTGTAATGTGAATACACCCATACCTTCACACATACATATATGTGTGTATGGGAAATATGTCATTTTGACATTTTCATTGATTTAGTGGTATGTTTTAGGTTTGAATCTCCGATTACACTTCCCCTTCCTTCCCTTTGCAACACTTCTAATAATCATTGTAGTACATAAATGTTGCAAATGTGGTATTACACGCCAGCCAATGAATATCGATAACAATCATGCAACAATCACAACCTGTCCAAAATGTCAATAAATGCAACAATGTATTTATGTTAAGAAAAAGCAGCATATGTGGCCATGGGAGAACGCTACCACATACCCTCAGGGGGTTTATACAAGAAAAAATATATATGTAATCAGGGGTTTTATGGAAAAAGCAATACCTCTTGAAGACCCCCTCATGTGGCTCTTTGGACAAATATAATAAAGCTTCATAAAGATTTTTTTAGAAACAAATCTACGCAATCGTATTAAAATACAGTTTTGAAAGTCATACATCTATCAAAAGCCACAATAAACCTACAATACCATCACATTTTTAAATTAAACATGACATAGGAAACACTTTTGAAAATAAGAAGGGCAATAAACAAAGAATTCCGAAAGCTTGTCAAAGACATTATTAAGATTTCATTGGCTGCTGCTGACGAAGAGAATTGACAAGAAAACAATAACAACAACAATAAAATTGTCACAGATATTTTGTGTGCGCTAGACAAAATGTCTTAGTTTAAAGCCACAATTACAAACCAAACTCCAATGATGAACAAGGCAATCCGAACCAGACTGCGAGTCTAGGAAAATTCTGTGGGCTCAATTAAGCCAGGGTGGTTCGTATGGGTCAACAACAAATTGAAATTCAAAACGAACAGAGTTAAACCCATTGTCGAGTGAGCCTAATATCCATATTGTTATACATGACACAGAATTCTCTTTGCACTGCAGCTGCAGTTGGAGTTGCAGCGCAAAAAAAAACGAAACAACCACAACAATTGGAAACAACATTTCTTCTTTACACGGATCACATTACTCCTGAGGTGGTGGTGGTGTTTAACTACAAATCCATTGGTAATAGTCATCGATGTCAATTTAAGTATAACATGGTTTTCTCTCTCTGTGGAGATGCAAAGCAGCAACAACAGCATCAGGAATGGCAACGTCAAACTGTCTTTGAAATCCAAAGAAACTTTGCCGATGCCATACGTGTTTCGTTGTGGTCTCGTTGTTGGATCAACAACGACACCAGACAGCTGCGCAATTGAGGAAATTCAGGACAGTGGACCCTAAAAAATATTTTTATAACCTTCACCACACTGTGGTACAGGGTATTATGTCTTTGTGCATATGTTTGTAACAGGCAAAAGGAAACGAGATAGACACTGGGTTCCTTTTAAGAATATGCATAGAATCCCTTTTTAAGTTGATTTATACATGTCAGTCCGGCCGTCTGTCCGTCTGTCAGTCCATGTTAAATTGTAAACAAAGTACAGGTCACATTTTTAATTCGAATTGAATGAAATTTGGCACAGCTCATTTATTTGGCCCAAGGACGAAACCGAAATCGGTTCAGATTTAGATATAGCTTCCGATTTAAGGTAAATGGTGCACCAAAGA